TTCGCCACCAGCGCCGCTTCCCTCCAGCCTTCGCCCGAAACCCCACACCAGGAGGCCGAAGCAGATCCCAAGTCGGAATTTCTGCCCCCCCTCTGACCCACATAAAAAGACCCCAAAGGGGGAGATTCTCTGCAGCAACACAAGTGTTCATTGCACATATCCATCCCAGGGGGCGCAGTTTGAGGACCCCTGATTTAGCACAATATAAAAAATCCAAATAATTTTTCTGGGGACCACCAAAATTTTCTCACGGGCCACTAGTGGTCCACAGACCACCAGTTGGTGACCACTGCTATAGAATTTGGTCAAATGGCTGTCCAGTCTCTTCTTAAAATCCTCCAGTAATGGAACAACCACAAATTCTCAAGTCAAGCCATTCCACTCCAGGGAAAACATTCCCTACACCAGTGGTGGGATTCAGCCAGTTCGCACCTATTCGGGAGAACTGGTTGTTAACTTTCTAAGAAGTTCGGAGAACTGGTTGTTGGAAGAAATCTTTTGTTTTTTCCCACTTTACAGGGCTAATCCTGTAAGGAAGGAAACATTCTGGTGTTGTTTCTAGCCTAATCTTTATTGCCCTGCATACAGAAACTGCCTCTCCGGGTTACCCTTATTACATGGTAAGAGCTAAGGCAAATCGCCCATCAACATGACTGATGTTGAGTTGACCACACCCAATCAGTCACATGACCATCGAGCCATGCTTACCCAGCTGGTCATTAAGGCAGAGAACCGGTTGTTAAATTATTTGAATCCCACCATTGCTCCACACCTATTTCTTTGCCAACCAGATCAATTTCCGTTGCTTCCAATTATGACCACCTTGTTGTAACAACAGGAAAGGGGCTTTTTTTGCTTTCTTTTTTTTTCAACCTTTCCATCCGGCCTCAATTAAAGGGAAGCAATATATTGATTTCTTTTCTCGGGGAAAGATTCTGGTAGAGTTCACACCCTCTGCTTGAAAATTGGTTGTCTACCGATGTTGCATTCTGCAGAATCATTAACTTTCTTCGTTGTTCCTTTTCCTTTCCTCCTGCAACGGCCTTCATTAAACTTCACAAGAGGGGTTTTGCTTATATATAATTCAACAGGATTTCCTCGCTGGGCCTATATTTAGCCTGACAGATAAAACAAGCTATTCCAGCATCTGTGACTATTTCTAAAGAGCAGCAGCTCCATTCTTGCTCTGTTTTACTTTCGGCATCTCTGTGTTACTGGGTCACAGCCAAGACATAGCTGGTTGGGTATAGGCAAGGGAGATGGGAAACTGACGAAGCAGCAGGGAAGCCACAAACAGGAGCACATTCCAGGCACATCTTTCTCAAGGCTGTCTCCCAGGTTACCCACAGCAGCCGGAGGGGTGTGTTCTCTACAGCCCGCAAAAGTGCTCTGGTTGGAGAATGTGATTTATGACACACCCTGGGGGGAGTGGGTAACAGGGTCATAATTGGGCCATAAATTACGTGGGATCAGAGTTGGGTAGGTGATGACCTGCTGCTCCTAATAAATAACTAGATTTCTTTTGAAGCTTGGCTCAAGGCTCATGATTTAATTAGGGCACCTGTCAGAACCCTGACACTGGGAGCTAACCAAATTTCCCCCCCTCTTCTAGCCTTCAGAGAGAGAGAGAGAGAGAGAGAGAGAGAGAGAGAGAGAGAGAGAGAGAGAGAGAGAGAGAGAGAGAGA